ACTATTACTCTGTTTTAATTAAGTTTGGATTTTGACAATATAATGAGTTTATGAATTATTATTTTTGTTTTAATTACTGATGAAGAGTTTTGAACTATCCTTTGATTTCATCAGCTTTGAGTAATATAATATTTCTCAAGATTATGAAATGTTGCATATTTTTGAATATCTTGTTCTTTTGATATGTCTGTTTTGAGGCTTAGCGTAGGTGGGGTGTCTTTTCGACACTGCTCCTGCGTTGCTGGTCATGATCCGGGATTCAGGTCGTGACACTGCTGGAATTCAAAGAAGTTAGCTTTGCTATTGGAGATAGGAGTTTCTGCTGGAATTCAAAGAAGCAGTATATGGTGGCACACTCCATGGTAGAGGTAGAGTATATAGTTACATATATGGCATCAAATCAATTAATATGGCTAAGAAAGATGCTAAATGATCCACTCCATGGTAGAGGTAGAGTATATAGTTGCATATATGGCATCAAATCAATTGATATGGCTAAAAAAGATGTTGGATTTCAATCAACACAATCCCACCGAATTGTTTTGTGACAACACATCAGCAATAGCCATCTCAAAAAATTATATTTTTCATGATAGGACCAAATATGTAAAGATCAAATTCCATGTTATCAGACAATTTTAGCAAGAAGGGAACTAGAACTACGTTATTGCACTTCAGAAGAAAAACTAGCATATTTTTTTATTAAGCCTTTAGCAAAAAATAGATTTGAAGCTTTGATGGAAATGATTGGAATATAAAGCTTTGGAATCAAGGAGGGGTGTTGAAGTTATGACACCAAAGCTGGAATAATGTTACTTAGTCGTGGTCTCTTGCATTGCTGTGTATTAGTGTTGAAGTTATGACACCAAAGCTGGAACAATGTTACTTAGTCGCGGTCTCTTGCATTGCTGTTAATGGTAGTGTATTTTGATAGTGATTGATATGTTTTTCAATTCATTAAAGATAAACTTATTTAGGATATGTCTAATTAGTTATATAACTCCTTAAATAAAGGAGATTATGATTGTTATATTTTTTTTAACAAATATGTAATGTTTGATCCCTTCAATAAATAAAAGACAAGGGATCACAGTAACCTTATAAGACTATTCTGCTCTCTGTTCTCTTTGATGAAAATTATGTTCTTTGTTCTTTTCGGTTTTTTCATCTGCTTAAACAAAATCCTGTTTTTTATATATCAGGTTTTTCTACAATTATGAAGGAAAAGGGTGAGGGACATGACATGAAAAGTTTGTTTTCCTGAAGCATCTTATTTTCATCTTACTTCTTGTCCTCATTCAGGAAAACTCAGACATATTTGTATTGAGCTGTTAATGATCTGAAGCATTCCATGAATTATTCAATTCCTTTTTTATGCAATTTCTGAGCAATCATTAAGCTCTACTGGGTCCTTTTCTTTGATGTTCCTCCGTGTTTATGCAAACATTTTGAAACATAAAACTGCCCAATCATGGCCAAGTTTGATACACGTCGGAAAGCACCAAAACTAACAAACATGTCATCAGCCACATGATCTTACATTAATTTATTAGAAAGTAGAAAATAGGCAGCATTCCTAGTAGGTTTGAAGAGGGATATGGTCATTTTACTGCAGGGCAATTGAACAAGCCAACAGTGAAACAATAAGTGATTTGTATGTCACTGAACTGGGAATCCTGCCACTGTCCTTTCGAAAGAAGAGCCCTTGGTATACCGGTAGGTTGATCAAAACTATGAGCCCAGATAGAACTATCTGCGGTGTGAATAGGTCTAAAACCTTGTTTTCGGCATTCGAAATCACCATCTTTATTCCACCAATAAAACTGAAAATGTTCAGCAGGGCAAGTGTTGCTAAGATGTTGAACATTGGTGAAGGGACACCAAACTCCATAATATCTTGCTCGTATCTCTTAGAAGCATCCTCACTCGCAACCTTGGCAGTGACTACAAAGGCATGATTTGTGAATCCTAACATCTTTAGAATAGTGTTACAGAAGCCAGCTAAATAGGATGTTGTTCTTTTGAATATCCAAATCCTTTGATCATTCCACCAGCCTTGAAACGTACCATCACACCATAGAAATTCTACGAGACCATATGCTCGGTCGGCAAAGAAGGCATATGCAAATGCCTGAATCCATGGGCTAGATGCCTGAGGAACATAAAGTTTTCTACGAGTCTAATGAAGTTCTTAATGTTGCAAGAAACACAAGTAATTGACTGCATTTTATTCGAAGATGTAGTCATCAGATTAGATATAGCAGAATTGAAAAGTACATACCTTTGGAAATAAGGAGATTCCTCTGAGCAGGCAAAGTGAAGGTACAACAACATAGTACAGTGTAGGGAAGCTGTTGGCTGCCCATAGAAAGTAGATACAGTATGAAAGTAGAAGTTTTAGGGGTATGTTCTTATATCCGTCGAAGAAGGGACCATGCCTTGATAGGAGAATTTGTAATTCACCTTCAGACCATCTCTCCTGCTGGACCAATGTTTGCAGTAGTGTTGTAGGGGCAAGTCCTAGGAAGCCTTTCCTTTCAGGATTGAAGTACACTGATCTCCAACCTCTACATCTTATAGAGAATCCTGTCATTACATCTTCCAGTAGATAGCCATACTTCAAACCCACCTGTGAATTTGAAACCCTTGTTTAATGGTATTAATTTGTGCATCAAAGACCATTGCGTGAGAGAGAGAGGGGGGGAGATAGAGAGGGAGGGAGAGAGACCTCAATTCCCCATTGGGTGTTCTCTTCATATGCACAACTTGCAAGGACTTTGCATTCTTCTTCTAGATCTCTAGCATTTCCTTCAATCTTTATGTCAGCCACTCTCTTCCAGTCTACCTTGTGTTCATTGCAATGCTTCCTCTCGCAAAGATTCACTCGCCTGTGGAAACACCCAGTACCTATATACATAGGCCCTCCATTTGCGTCTATGCCTGGAAACTCCATCTTGATTGATAAGCACAACAGAGAGAAGCAAAGAAACCATCACAAACTCCTCCTGTTACTAGCTATTTTTACTCTCAAGTACTGAACTTATGAGGATTCAGGGGTAATGGGATAATCCATACCTTGAATATCACATTCAAGGAATTGCCATAAAGGTCATTCTTCGTAACATTCATCATTAACTGTGGATATTGAACATATCCAATCTCATGCCCCTTCTCCTCGTCCATGAAAAAGCACAGGGCATCTCTTAAAGAACTTGAATTGTTGGAGTACATGTCGCAGTCGACATTCATGATAATAGGACCATTGCTTATCCTTGACGACACCCTTATCTATTCAGCCACATATTGCGAAAGACTGTCATGACTAAGGACTGCAAATCAACAGAAACAAGAACTAAATCACATGCTTAATTAAAAAAATTCCCCAACCAACCAGTGCATTCATGGCTCCGGCTTTGAAGTTGTGAGGATATTGAGGCCTCTTTTCTCGTGATAAGTATACCAAAGTTGGCAAACGTTGTCCTTCATTATCCATGGCCAGAGGATCTCTCCCATCAATTAGTATCTACAAAAAATAGGTCAATTCTATGAACAAACTGTTTTCAGTAAGTAAACTGATTCTGGCATTAGAAATGTTGAAGATTAAGTACTTGACAAATGGTTTGATGATCATGCCGGCTTGAAACAAAATCCCACTCAGAAAATCCCTTGTGTTCTTTACGAATTTTCTCCGGAACTTGGCCTTGCTTTGGTGTAACGTCAATCCGGTTCTTCATGTCTCCATATAATTTCTACAGTTGAAAGAAACAGATTGCAATCAAATTAGAGTAAAGCCACATCAACCTGAAAGGAATCATTTGGGACAAGCACCAGGAAGACTAAAATTCGACGCCAAGAAGATAGTTTAGGGTGGATGTTTGGGTCATTGACAAGTCATCAAGGACATGAGAAACTCAATTAAATCAACAAAACACAGGCCTGCAATTTTCTGCAGAATCAGGCATGAACAGGAGAAGGGTTTCTCTAAACTGCAGATCTTTTTTATTCGCTTTCACCACTGTTTTTTCCTCTTACAATTCCAGAACTTTCAGCCCTATTTATACATACTAAATCAACAATGCTAGCATTACACCTGGTAACTTTAATCACCACTTAAACCAACTCCAGTTACATTAACTTCACACAAATCAAACTAGATAAGGTCAAGATTAAAGAGCTGTCATATTAACCCCAGCATAGCTTACCTTGATGAACAACCACTCTTTGGTCTTGACAGGGCCATCCAGTGGTTCAATCTGAAAATAGGCCTCGGGTGATCTTGGTTCTACGTTGAACTTCTTGCAAAACGGTAGCCAATACTTTGAGAACCTTGATGCCTCTAGCATTGCATAAAAGGTCAATTCTGAGACACCATCATCCGACAGATAAACACTCAGCTTCTCTGGTGGATAATCATAGGCCATCATCGATAAGACCGTGTTGATCACCATGATTGGTGGCTCCATTTCTGGGTCTGCAGTACACACAAATACGTCTACCCTTGGCAAATCCTTCTCATACCTGTCAAGTAGTTCACAATCATTATAAAGGGACTAATTGTAACTAGCCTGGACATAACTAAATTACAGTAGTGATATCTTACCTTTGAGAGAGCCTGTCTTTGAAAGTGTAACGAAAAATGGGGTTCCATCTAACAAGATGAGTAATAAACCAGTAAAAACTGAACCATAGCTCTGCAAAGAACATTCCAATCCAAGCCCACCTCTCCAAGACTCCTTCAACTGGCAAGTACCTCACTCTGTACACCCATGTCATGCAAATAGCCACTGATATTGTAAGCACATATAGTTTGATCAGAAAAGGTCTTCTTGATGACTTTGTTTCGAAGAGAGGAAGATAGCCATTGTTGTTTCCCATCTCTCTCTATATTTCTTTGAGAGTGGAGAAGTTAAGGTCTAAATTTATAGAAACTCAAGCTCAACCTTGGAGGCAATGGTAATGATGGCCTAAAGCATCTTATTTAACTACGAGGCGATGGTAATGATGCCTAAAGCATCTTATTTCATTACCAGTCAGAAATTCAAAATTATCTTCTCTACCAGCTACCGAAAACAGACAGAAAAAGGTTTGGTGTGATCCTTTGCCTGCTCATTTCTGATAGATGTAAATGTAATATTGTAAAATGAAATATTTATTTACATGTGTCTAATAAATTTATTTATTAAAATGAATGAAAGATAATAAAAATATAAATACATATAGAACTCACTGAATAAAATAGAATGGGAAAAAATATATTATAAATATTTTTTTAAAATAAATATTTTTTTTATAAAATAAAGCTTATCTGTATAAAGTTAAAAAATAAAATCTTAAAGAATTAAATACAAAACAAAACAATGTTTTTTTTAAAAAAAATCTCCATAAAAAAACCTGCAAAACCTGTGGTCTAGTTTATATAACCAGGATAAACCGATAAAAAAATTAAAAATATCCATAAAATTATTTTTTTATAAAAGAATAATATAAAATGATAAAATTATATGTATAAAAAATTCTAACCATATTAACTTTTAAAATTTATAACCCGTATCAATAAATCAAAAACATGATAGATAAAGTAATCATAAACAAAATAAAGCAATTATAAAACTCAACAAAATAAACACTAAATATAATATTAAAAAAAATCAATTATATAAAAAATTATAATTAAAAGAATAAAAATAAAAAAATAAATTAGAGGGCATTAAAAAATATTAAATTCGTCTATTTTTTTTTTATTTGGATAAAAAAATATTTTTATTATTTAAAAGTTTGTGAAAAGAAGAAAACATAATTGGTCAAAATTCTAATTCTTGTTGACTTTTGATGTAAAGATATAATTTTATTGTACAAAACTTAAACATTCGGAATAATCGTTTAATGACTAATGTGTCGTTACAAACGTGAAATTGTCTTTATAAAGGCTATTAATTTTTCTGTTTAAAGACAAAATAAGAAATTGACTGTAGCAATCATTCAAAGAAAAATAGTAATTTAGTGCTACAGTGTGCAACAATAAAATATCCACATGATATACACGCGCGTGCCTGCATGTACGCGAGGTTTGACTGTGATATTATATTATTCATCTGAATATATATTTTTTTATTGGTGATTTCTTATTTATTTTTATATTTAAAAAAATTTAAAAAATTTTAAATTTTTTATTTTAAATTAATATTTTTTGATATTTTCAGATAATTTTAATGTATTAATATTAAAAATACATATTAAAAAATAAAAAATATTATTTTAATATACCAAATACCACTAAGTTAATTTTAATTTTTTTTTTAAGAATATTATTTTAATAATAAAAAAAATTTAATTTAAAGACCCACTCGAAAACAATCCAAAACTTAACTTAGCAAACCAAACTTTTTAACATATCAATATCGAAATTGAATATAATAACTATTATAGAAACAACTTTCAGTGTGAAGCAGGTAAGAGTCATGTTGATGCGATTTCATATTTATCATGCCACTTTATTTGTGCACTTTCTTTCTCTTTGATTCTTCTCTACGGGCCTGAAACCCATATGTTACGTAAGTGTTTCTTTCTCTTTGATTCTTCTCTACGGGCCAGAAACCCATCTTTTACCATAGTGTGGTTCTGGCCTAGTGGTGGAAGGGGCTTGTCCCCTTCCTTCGTATCTGGATTCGAATCTTACTATGCACACCTGTTACTCCCGCGGTGCCTTACCTGCTCACTGGGCTTGCAGGATGTTCAGTGGGCCGTGTGGATTAATCGTGGTGCGCGTAAGCTGGCCCGGACACCCCACATAAA